CTATTTTTCTTGAGAATCTTCATATTTAGTAATTTAAATTGTTTCAGAAAATAAAGTGTTTGCCAGAAAATTTTACTGATAAATTAAATGATAAAGTTGCAGCAGTGCAATTTTGAGCGCAAAGTTTGCTTCATTTGCAGGAGGCAGAAGAAGGCGATGATGGCTTCTTCCGTGAGGGCGATATGCAGAAACCAAAAAGTCGGTACCAAAGCGCACCTGCTGAGTTGGCCGACTGTCCACAAACATTTTCATTGGGATCATGCCCAGCAAGCGATTCTTGGGTTGGAGGAATTCTCAGAGACGAGGATGGAAAGTTTGTATGAAGTCTTAATTTTACACTTTTTTATAAAATAAAAAAGCTGGACGCTTCATACAGTCTGTTCAATAAACGTCCAAGAGTGTTCAGTTAAGAAAGAGAAGAAAGGAACCTTTACAATTAAAATTGTCCAATTCCCAGACTATTTGTTTCAAATATCTCTAATTATAGTACGACTAAAAAATCGAGAAAATCAGTCTCATTCTGAGGCTAAACAGTTATAGCGAAATTTCCAGACTCAAAGTACAGTGCTGTACTTATGGTGGACTCAAGTTTGCTACTGAAATGGGCAAGCCGGTGGTGCACGAAGGTGAAGTATTCTCAGGTGGTGAAGTGATCCGTGACGGTCGGCAGACAGGCTTTGATCTCATTAGCAATATCAAGCAACTACGTGATGGCGATGGCGCTGAGTCAGTTGTACAAAACACACTTTTCAGCAAACTATCCAACCATCTATAAAATTATAATTTGTTGTTTTGAATTTGAGAAAAAAAAAGAAAATTGGTGAAATGACTTTTACCGCTTCTTAGATGTGGAATCAGTGACCAGCTTCCGTATGATTTACTGATTCTTTTTGATTGCGAAGTTGGGACGAGCTCTCAAAAGAGGGAGCCAACCTTTTTTTTTCGCAGTGGAATTAGCTCGATCTAGGCAGATCCTGAGTGCTTACAATTCTTACAGAATGTAAAGCATGACGATTTTGACTTTTCTTAACTCTCTGTTTAAAACTCGGTGAAATCAATCTTTTCACTCTCAACATTAAATTAAAAAAGTTTCTTACGAATTTCCTAAGCTCACTGGAGATGTACTTCTCAAAAAAAAAAAAGAAATCTCGGCTATTTTATGGTCTGAACATTAAAGTGAAAATTTTTCATTTAGTCCGTCATATGAACTTACTATAACGCGATTGTCCTGCATACCAGATCCACCGGAACCAACAAATTATGGTATGATTTGCATAAAGTCACTGTGCACTTACAATCAATAGTACAAATCCAAATTTGCATAACAGTTTGAAACAACTCCCAAATATTTTGAAACTGATAGCCTTAAGGAATTGCCTCAGGTTTTCTTGCAGTTCGCAAGAATTAGGTCGTTCTTGCAATCTTTTTTTTTTGTTACAGTGGATTTGAACGCCCAAGCGGATATCGGTCGCATATTAGACAAAGTGAGCGAAGGTGATCAAGTGAGTGGTACTGAGACTGACCAGGTCATCCATCAGGTCAGCTTTATTCCTGTCACGCCAGCTGCTTTATGAGCTGATAGCACTATCGGCAAAAAAATTTTTTCTTCTGAATTTATTCATCCTAAATTTTTGAGTTATTGTTAAATCTACAGTTTGCATATTTTCTAATTGTTTTGCTTCATTATGCGTTTTTGCCGTGCTGCGCTAGAGCGCTGCAACAGGCAGCAAAAACGCATATTGCAACGACCTTGTCAGTGTGTGTGTATGTTTGTGTGTGTGTGTGTGTTCGTCTGTCCGGGTGTTTCAACTCGCCAACCACGCATACTTTTAGGTTGAAATTTTGCCAGTGTGTTCCCCAGCCAGGTACCACCCCAGGACCGCAGTTTCAACTCTCACGCA